GACTTAAGTCGAATTTACTTGTCTCCGAATCTATTTGCCACTAGGCTAAACCATAAATTACCAATTCCCGTTCTGTATTTTATCTATTAATGCATTTTTAATAATATATGGTTAATAAGGATCTATTTTAAGCTTACAAACAAATAAATTTTAGTTTTTAATATAGTACAGTACATAAAAAAGTAATTTAAATTTACGAATGCACGTACTGTACTGTAAATACAGTATATACTTGTAAATGTATATATTATAATATGATTTTATGTGCTTTAAACATTTTTCTAGTGATGTTACGACTTTAATATTTGTGGCGGACAGACGTAAAGTCGAATAAAATGACTTAAACTTGATTTTTATTTTTCCATATACAGTACTTTCTTGACAAACGACGTAACTCGAAACGACGTAAGTCGAGGTATACCTGTACGTGTTTTGTTCTGTCCTGGCCGTTCCATCGTTTTAGTAAAATTTTCACTTGCGTCTCGTTTTTGTTGAAAATCAAGAAACAACTCTAGTATGTATATTAAACACATTTGTATATTGTATTCTGAACTTGTGACTTGTTAGAAAATGCTTATTCTACGTTGATAAAAATCATAAATTTGAATGGTTAGGCTATTATCGAGGAAAAAATGATGGCATAAAATATAGCTTACAGAATATTTTCAACGAATTAAGGAACATTTTATAGGAACAGAAACATAAAATTTGACAATTCATCAATGAGTGCTAATAAAGACAATATGGCAAATTTATTCAAATACTTGGGCGATGGAACGAAGAAAATATTAATACTGTATATCAGACAGATGAGTCAGAATATTTAATGAAATGCACGAAAAGGATCTTGAATTCTAAGATTTTATAATTTGATAAAATTAGTCCTTAATTTTCCATAAACGACAACAAAGAATAGTGTTTAAAGGAAAAGTCGAAATTAAATATTAAAGGCATGAAAACAATGCTAATTATAAAGTAAAACTGCGATTTACAATGCGATAAGTTTTATGATAAATTGCGAGTGAACAGAACGTAAACAAAATAATTTCATGTTAATATGTGCTTCTTGTCCTTAATTACTTATACTTTTGTCCACTTTGGACGTTCTTATGCACTAGGACTTGTTATACTGAGGGAAGAGAAACACAATTTTCATATGCATGACAACTGCTCGTATGCATTTTTGCCAATTCAGTTTTTCCATCGAAGTATCTTGCCTTCGAGAAGCTCAGGACTCTAGGCAAGTCATCACAATACAAGTCAATGTGTCCTAGCTATCAGAGATACGTCCTTTAACTCATTATCGACAACTACGATGCAATAAATGTTAGAATTAGCTTCAAAACTTGTGTAGCCATAACGGCAGATTCTAATTCCGAGAAAAATGTCCATTACATTTATGTATAATGGTGAGATATCAGATTACTAAAAGTATAAAATGCATGCACAGCGTTCGTTTATAACTTTCCGATATTAGCAGGTAAATTTGGGGAATGCTTTACGATGACGGTAATAACTTGATGATATGAATAATTTAGCCACCAGATGGCGGTGACCATAACAATTGGCATACTATTGCCATGTCTCTCCGATGGAACTTATATTTCAGTTTTCCATGTCGGAAGTTATAAATGAACACGCTATTATGCAAATAAATAGCAACTAACAATGTAGAAAAACTATGGCAGTAATTACGGCTACAGGACATGTGTCCTTACATATGTAAGAACGTGCAGTTTTAAGAAAACAGTATCATGATAATGCAATATATAAGTCATGCTTATCTTGATTTGAGTGAGTCAGTAGCATATGCTATAGTCCAGGGGTGGCCAACCTGCGGCCCGTGAGCCACATGCGGCTCTTTGAACGATCATTTGTGGCTCTCGATAAATGTACCCGAGTTCCCTTTTCATTTTTGTGTTGTTATATTTTAAAAAATTATTATCGTTCCGTATGTGTTTCAAAATGTCTTTTAAATTACTAACAACAAATATAAAAGACTAAGTGCAACGTTGTATCATTTCCGTCCAAGTTAAGAATGATATGACTCATCGAAAACTGCGTGAACGAACATAAACAGTGGCGTAATCATCCGTTATCGACCGACTCCAGACCGATTTTGAATTTGTAAACTGTCATTGCAATGGACAGTTGACATTGTGCTCTGGAGGAAACAATTTGTATCACTCTTTCATGGATATAATTTGTAATCTGGAATTTTTTGCATACCTTTTTAATACGTATTTAATTGCGGCTCGCGAAAAATTTCAAATTTTGAAAAATGGCTCGGACTATCAAGGAGCTTGGCCACCCTGGCTATAGTCTATTGAAAAAGTGCCGCAAAATACTGTTTATTAATTCAGTCTAGAAAGGCTACATAAAACTTTAGATTGCAATTCTGAGATTATTGGTAGTGCTTCTAAGCACTACCAATAAGATTTTTATTATTATTTCTTATAGAAAGAAAAACGCCTAAGAAAAACTTTAACTGTCGTTTAAATTGTCATAATTTTTTATTTGGTGATATTTTTTTTACATCTCACTTGGTTTTGTTTACATTAATACTATAAAAGTTATTTTGAAATAAAATATAAACATCCGGAAAAGTTGTACAACTTTTTGCTAGAATATTTTTCTTTACTTTCTTTTTATTATGTATAAATTTTAATTTATTAATTAATATTGGTACTAATTGAAGTCCTACTTATATAAACTTTTCCTCAAAGTGTACTGTGAAAACATACGAGGTCTGTTCAAAAAATACGCGGACTGACGTCATAAAACAAAATGTACTTTATGTAAAAGTTACGTCTGGGTCCCCTTCAAAGTACTCTCCTTCCCAACGCACATACTTATCCCAACGGTGTTTCCACTTGTTGATACAGCCCTGGTACGTTTCTTTTGTAATGTCTTTCAGTGCCTTCGTCGCATTTGCCTTAAAAATCTCGGTAATCGTCTCAAATCTTTCTTTCAAGGGTTTTTTGAGTTTGGGGAACAAGAAAAAGTCACAAGGAGCAAGATCAGGCGAGTAGGGGAGTGGGGAAGAACAGTGATCGTGTGTTTGGCCAAAAACTCACGAGTTCTGAGGGCTGAATGGGCTGGAGCATTGTCGTGATTGAGAAACCAAACGCCACTCCCCCACATTTCTAGCCTTTTGCGACGGATGGCGTCCATCAGACGTTTCAGAACTTCAACGTAGTAAGTCTGGTTCACTGTGGAGCCTTGGGGGAAGTATTCGTGGTGAACAACACCCTTAGCATCAAAGAAAACTGTCAGCATCACCTTGACATTTAATCGAACTCGGCGAGCGTTTTTGGGTCTGGGGGACGTTTCACCCATCCACTGGTTGAGCATAGCAAATGTTTCAGTCGCAGATTTTCCAAGTTTAACACAAAATTTCACAGCAAGTGGTTGCTCCATCAGGTCATTCATTCTGAAATCCGACAAACGAAAAAATCGCACTTCACTAAAATCCGCATAGCTAACTAATCAAGAAATAAAGATATCTGTAATCGGGAAACGGCTTTATCACCAGACGATCTGTACAAACCTAGCGACATCAAGCTGATTTCCCTGGAACCAACTGGAGTCGCGTAATTCAAACACACCGCGTATTTTTTGAACAGACCTCGTACATATACCATCCTCCATTGAATCCTTTTGAGTCTGGTCAATAGACAAGTAATGATAGCAACTTAACAAAATTAACCTAAGGCTATCCTTAGGTTAGTAGTCTCACTTGCCCAAGTCATGCATACAGGGGCGCCCGTAAGGGAGCATGTGCTCCACTTTGTTGGCGGGTTGCCCTGTTCTTAATCTCCAAGGAAGTATAAGGTTTCATTTTATTTTTAAATTAGTTATTCATTTTATCACAGAAAACTTTTTACTGATGACAAAATAAAAATTATTTATTGTGACATCGTCACAATGCCAGGCTGCAATTTTTAATCAATCATATTTTTAATTTATTCAATCTATATATATATAAATGCGAATGGTTGTTTGTTCTATATACATTCCTAGGCCAATCGACCAATTGCAACGAGACTCGGAAATTACATTTACATACTCCTAACTTAGATAATGACATAGAGTACATTCTCTTGACGAACCCTATTAAAACGCAATCAAAAACGCATCTAAATTATAATAATAGAAGCCTAGTTCTTCACGGCAAGTCTTAATTTTGTCCCTCTTCCCTCCGGGGGGATTTCGACATCTATATAATATAAAAACACGCGAGTATTCGAATGCAACGTTGGATGTGTTCTTTTATTCCTCCGCGTGAGCGACATCCGTTCAAAAATTCCTGCGGAACGCGTTCCTAAATTCCAGTCGGAGTGCGCGCCGTCGAACGTCAAAAACGGCCGCTTGTAGTAGTAGTTTACGGTGGGGAGCAACATGGCGTCCTCTATGGCTCAGATAGTTTCGTTTCGGGGGTCCATTATGTGGTTTTATGAATGAAAATTTATAAGTTGTGAAAGCGCAAGTTAGTGCACGCCGTGATGTCTTTTCGAATTTATTTCGGATGGTAGCCGACATTCTAATTTTTTTCGTAGGTATTTTGAATGCTCTTTCAACAAATAATCCGTTTTATGGTTAAATTTTACAATTGGAACTCTTCTTTTGCCTTTAAAAGCTCATATTTTAGAGTTCTAGATTCCTCAATCACGGTACTGTCGATAGTGCGGGCGCCGCCATCTTTGTTTCTTTCACCGTCGTTCCTAAATACCTATAAACAGCAGCGCACTCCCGTAGTAGCGGAGACGCAAACCGACTGCTATTAACGAACGTACCCGTTGTTTCAAAATTTCAACGCAATTGGTGAAGAACTTTCAGAGATTTAAGATTTTGAACAAACGAACATCTACATTTTTATATAGATTTTTAAAAAAAATTATTGAAATTTTAGATATTTTAAGAATTAAATTAGCATTAATATGATAAAATTTAAACAACAGACATATTACTTTTTATTAATATATAACAATTTAATGAGCATAAAAATAAAAATACATTAGTCATTGTAAAAGAAATTGAAATCTCTCATGATGGAATTTGTGGCATTTGATTTAGGAGATTTCAACTCAGAAAATTTTAAATAAATTTCTCCGTACATTCATATTTTTCTTTTTCCAATAACTTTTTATAAATTTCTCTTATTAGAAATGATTGCAAAAAACTTCATTAATAATTTTATAAATCTACGTCATCATCTCTTCATCTTCATTCTGTTCATTTCCATCCGAGCCGGCCTCGGCCTCTTCGTCGTCGTCATCTCCGGGAACTTCTGCATTAGCTTGTTCTAGACGATCCAATTGTTTGGCCAACTCAACTTCATCTGTTTCCGTAACAACTTTGGGCTTAAAAAACATTTTTCATTTTCATCTCATGAGAATCCAATTCAGAAACAATTTTAACATTTCAAAACTTCCACGAGAAACTATTTACCTGATTCTGAATATTAAATATTCCACCTTCTATAGATTTAACAGAATTTTCTATGACCTCGAGTGCATTTTTTAGAGCTTCTAATCCTTCTGTTCGATCCATAGTGGTGGTTGTTACCACATACAGTGGTGGGGCAATTAGATTAATCTAACAACAATAACAAATTTTAAATAAAAATATAACAAGTTAATTAATATATATATTTAAAAATTTTAATACTTTAATTGGCATATCTTCTGTAGAGCAATCAATTCCAGCTTGAAGTGCAGATTTCACTGCATCAATACCTTCATAACCATAACAAGCAACTTCAATGTCTGTAAAATTTTGGAAGAATTAATTAAAGTTACTAAAATATAAAATTTTGGATAATAATAATACTGTCAATAGCAGATTTTAAGTATTAATAAATATTTTTCATATAAAATCAATCTTTCTAATTCAATCACCAGTTGGAGGTTCAAATTATCTGTTTTTTAAAATTATAGCAGTTTTCTGCAGGTTTTCTTAGTGTTTAACAGTATTTTTATATTCTTTGGTAACATCACACTTCTTCAGTTAGAAACTTGAAGCAATTAAAGATTAAGTATAGATCACATAAATATAACTAAAACTGTGTTATCTTTTCATACCTTCAGCAAAATTTGAGTTTGGATAACTATGTTGTTTGTATCCCAGAAGTTCATAGAACATGTTTTGAGAAATCTTCAAAAAGCATGCCATTTGCAAATCAGCTAACTATATGTTGTTATCTTTTTCAATTTTCACATTCAAAATATGAGATCTGCTAGTTTCAATTATCCAAATTCATACTAAAAAGTTAAAATTAATTCTGTTTTGTTAACATTGGTATTTAAAATCATTTCAAGATAGATATAATACATTTTATTGAATAAATCAAGAATTTGAAATAATCACATTAGACTATTTAAGTTAATTTAGCAATTTCTATCAGTATTGTTACTTAAAAGACTACTGTTATATAAACTTTCTTCTTCAAGAATGAAGAAATAGTTTCACATTTCCAGAAAGAGAAAACAATGAAATTGAGTAATACAGTAGTCTCGAAAACTCGGCCTAATGTGGACCGAAGGGTGGCCGAGTTTGTGAAAATGCCAGGTTATTGGGAATGGGGTTAAAAAAAATAAGTATGAGTGTTTCCTCAGAAAATACTGTACTATACTTGTATGTATTGTTTACTTGAGAATACAACAGAGAATAAACTGCCCAAATACCCTTAAACAAAGGAAAAGTACATCCTTTATGAAGGCATAGAGACTTTACTACATGAAAATGAAAATTAATGAATACACTGTGTACAGTAATTTACCTGATAAGACAGACCTCAGAAAAATACTTTATGAGGCATAAAGCTGTCTATAATGAAAATTAATTAACTAAGGATTTTTTTGCCCTGCCAGGGTGTGGCTGAGTTATCCAGTGCCAAGTTTTCAAGACTCTACTGTATATATATTTTTTAACTCTGCCCTGTGAGCACTAAGAGGGCCTTTTTTCCACACATCACCCCTGAAAAATGTCAGGGTTTTCATTTTCAAACTGTCCAGATTTGATTCTGGGTCCCCAGAACAGTATACTTCATTATTAAAATGCCTTAATTACTTCAGCAATCCAACTAACAAGTAAAATATATTAAATAATAATAGTACTTTTTAAAATCATATAATTCTATTTATACTATGTAGTGTAATATGCTCCTTTTAGCATAAACTGTATTTTAATTCAGATATAAATTTTGTTCTTAAATTTGGTTTCAGGATAATTCAGATAATACATCAACTTCATTGTAATTATGCAAATTAGTACTATATTTCAGAGATTGCAAGAAAAATAAAATAAAAGTATTATAGTAATATAGTCCAAAAATATTTTGGTTGCCTTAAAGTAGCTGTATTTTTGCTTTATAATTCATTTTGGAATTATGAACATAAATTAATTTTATTATAAAAAATTGTCTACTTTCTTAGTGTATCTGAAAAAATCCAAGTTTTATAATCACATTTATTTTAAAATTTCCTCTTGTAATTTCTCAATAAAAATAATTATAGACATTAGCGAGATTAAGGCCGAAGTTTTAAATGCAAAAACGTGTACGCCGGATGTTCAGCGCCGCTTTCCTGTAAGCCTAGAAGTTTGACAATGGTGTTTGGATAGTCAGTGGAATCATGCTTGACATTCCAAACACCATTGTCAAACTTCTAGGCTTACAGGAAAGCGGCGCTGAACATCTGATGTACACATTTTCACGTTTAAAACTTCGGCCTCAACCTCGCTATTAAAGATATTTTTTGTAAAGTTTTGCATCATAGAATACTGTGTAAATATTTAATTGGTGCTTATCTGTTAAAGCCCTGCATGGCATGTTACATTCCATTTTCCAAAGTTCCAACTTAGAGAAGCAATGTAGGCAAACTTAAATGAATGACCAAATGAATTAATTACATTTTATATAAATCAAAGACTAAATTAAGTTTTTGATATGTGCATTTGTGTTGATGGGATGGTTTGTGGAGGATGGATTATTAAATCAATTTTTGGAGTTTTTCAACTACTGAAATTGATGTTTTTTGTATTCTGCACAAATTTGGTGTACTATATTTTCAATGTTTTAGCAAAAAAATGTATTATAATGAATTTAAATTTAGAATAAAAAAATTCAAAATGTGGGTATAACAAAATGAATGAAGGTGACACATTGGTTGAAAAATGTAATCATCCAACATGCATAAAAGTACAAGGGATCTATTATTCAATGTGAAGCATCGAAAAAACAACTTAATGGCAATTTCTGAATCATATTTGTGATGATCATTTTTAATGGAAAATAAGTTTTATTACTTATAATCATTGTTAAGTAATGAAAAATGACTTTCAACTACAGAAAAGTACCAAAATATGTTATATTTCTAAAATTATTAATTCAAGAAACGTTAATTATAGATGTAATGTGATGATAATAGCCAAATTAATTCTTTATACTATTCTAGAAAAATCATTTTGTTGAATTTTTGAATAATATGATATTTCACTATTTCAAAATGTCTGTTTTTTTTTTCTATTTTGTGAACTGTTAAAGTGGGATGCACACTGTTGGGAAAGATGCAATGTAATATGTGGGACTTTAACAGATACATACCATTAGTACAGAATAATGCTGCAAATTTTTGAACCCCATTCATAATAGAAAAAGATCCAGTTTGTATAATAAAGATAACAAATAAAAATTCATGTATGAGCGAGTTGTTTTCTTAGAGAGGAGAAGGAAAACTGTAGACAGAATTATGAATCATATTTCTGATAAGGATGCTTCTCTATTTGTTCTTGACTGTTTCATCAGTAACCTCTGATTATTTGATCTTGAACCATGCAATTCTTTCTACAGACTGTTAAACATCTTCAAATTAAATCTGTTGTGAAATTGCATAATTTTTACTAATAATGTTGCATGTGTTATGACAACATGTACAGCACAATAATTATTACTCAAATTTAAATTGCTATATGTGTTAAGCTGTTAAATTGGTGAAAAAAATCAATCTTTTTAATTTCTTACCAGCACGAATTTTGACTGCTTGTGGAGTTAATCTTCTTTTTATGTTAACTAAAAGAACTTCTTTAGTCTTTTTATCTAGACCACATTCATCTAAAATTGAAGGCTCACTAAAATAGATAAAGATATTCATAATTAAAAAAAACTATTACTATTTTAACTATTTGTAAAATTCAGCTTAAATAATCAATAATTAGTAAATTAAATGCTCAAATTTTAAGTAAATTGGCTTAAGGAATAGTATGTGCACACGGTTTTTAAAAATCAAATAATAATTTCTGATTAAAACTGATATATACTAATTTTTATTTTAAAACAACTTGAAATATTTTTTTTCAAACAATTTATTAAAACATCTATATGAGAATTATGAAAATTTTTTGTTTTCCATTCAAATCTATTTAGATTTAAATCATGATTCAAATTATTTCCTGTTTAATATGTAAATATATTATATATACAGGTATACATTTATATAAATGAATTTATCCATAGGCAAAAAAATCTTTCCAGCATTGGTTAAATTAGCATATGAACTGTAGCAGACACAAATATGCCAGATATTACACTACCATGACAGCACATGCAAAGAAATACCACAGTAATTTGAGTGCAGCAACATGATGTTAATTTATAGCATGATAAAATAAAGCAGACATAAAAAACTGGAATACAAACTGGAAATATATACTAAAACAACCACTTCACACCTAAACAATAATTCCAGCAAATGAACAACAAAAAATTTTAATGTTCAAACACAGCTATATTCGAAAACTGTTAAAAAGATAGTACTGTTTTTCTATTCTCTACAATTTTTCCTGACGAGGGCCTCTGAAAGATGGCCGAAAACATTTGAACATTAAAATTTTTTTGTTTTCATTTGCTGGAATTATTGTTTAGGTGTGAAGTGGTTGTTTTATGATGAAACAACTCCTTCAGCACATTCATGGACTAACAAAACACTGTTAGTTCATAAAATAGAGTATATAACTGTCACAATGGGCACCACTAGGCTGTGTATGTTCCATGATGCATGCAACATAAGTGACACCAAATGCATTTTACCCTAATCATCATCTACTGTGGAATCTGTGGTGAGCAGCTTCTTGGTCCTGTATTCTCGACAACACCCTGAACAGTGACCAATATCTGAACTTCCTTAACATTACAGTGGACAAATGGCTTCATGATATGCCACTTGCACAACTACAGCAGGCTTGGTAACAACATAGTTGTACACCACCTCATTTACAGATATGCATCAATGGCTCTCAGAATGGTTTGAAAACTGCTGAGTAGGACAACATGATCCTGTTCCATAGTCATGACATTCCCCAGATTTGACCCACTGGATTTTTTCTTATGGGGTCACTTAAAAGCATTAGTGTATAAGTACCTAACAATGCAACATAATGTTGGCAAAGTGGAGATATGCATATGAGGGGGCCTATGAAACTTTCTCAGCATGAAATCAAATTTCAACCTACCTAAATAAATAAATTAATAAAAATACTAGACTTTCAAATGTTAGCTATCAAGTTTATAGTAAATAAATGTTCAAAATTTAAGTATATATATACAGTAGAGCGTCGTTTATCTGAAACGTCAGTTATCCGAAAGTGTTCCAGTTGGCAAATTTAAATTTCTGCTAGAGCTGTGGTGCTGCAACCTTTGGCTATATCTTGGGCTACTCCAATATTTTTTTGGTTGGTGTATGTGTGTTTTAGCTGGCGGCACAAACTTTTGTGTGGTGTTTTTCTGAGGACTGTGTGTCGTGCTGAATCAAACATTTTTGATACTAGATTAACTTCTAAAGTATAATTTTTTTTGTTTTTATATTTTTCAATATATTTATTTTGTTTGTACAAAATAAAGAAAAAATTTTTAATGATACAATAGCCACGATTATTATTTTAAAAAGTTTACGTTAGGCTTAACATCAACGAAAATTCAACGCAAAGCGACACGCAACGGAGAAAAATTTCAACATGGGATAGGTTAATATATTTTTTGTACATAATCAGTTATCTGAAAAATAAGGTATCCAAACAACCCCAGTTCCCAATTGATTCGGATAAATGATGCTCTACTGTATAATATAAATTCTGAACAGTGTGTGTACATATACAAAAAATATCAAGTGTTTCTTGTGATAGACCTAGCCAAGCATACTTGTTATTGTCCTGCTGACACTCAGCATCACCAAACTCCGGATATATCCTTTTTTGTTTGTTCACCAAGTAGATAAATAATAATTTACATTTTATGTAGAGGAAATTTTTGGAACTTTAATAATAGAATCAGAAAAACAGACTATTACAAGGCTGCTTACAGAAACAAGATATAGAAAACTTATGGTTTAGTCCACTTAATCTTTAGTTTTAGGTAAAATTGGTAAAGTGACTAAAAAACCAGAATGACCAAAAACAAAACCATAATAAATCACTCATTTTTGTTATAGTTTATGCATAATTACTATATAAATTGTCACTAAATTGTCATTAGTCTAAATCAAAGTTAAAACTTGTTTTTAATAATGTCTAGGGTAAAGAACCTGTGACCTTCACATTACATAATACTATATGACTTCTATGTGGCTTATTATAATATAAAATAATATAAGTATAATTTGAATTGAATTATGAAAGTATGCATTTTATTCTTTTTCCAATAAAATAAATCACATAAATATGAGAGTAAATTGATAAAATAAAGTCTCTTACAAAACATTCCACAAAGCACAGGTATTGATTGATATGTGAAATCATCATCAGACTTTTCCAATTATTCCCAAATTTAAAATATTGAAAGATCAATGCTTTCCATAGGATGTTAAAGTTCAAGCCACCAAACGGGTATGTGTCAAAGAAAATCAAGAAAGCTTTTTCGCATGTAGAATGCAAAAATAAACTGAATATTTAGAAAAATATGTCACTCTAAATGGTAATTAAGTTAAAAAAGTCAATACTTATTGTCTAAAATAAATGACTGATCTTTCTTTTATTAAATTAGAAAACTTCTTTGTTAATCAATCCACATATATGCATAATTTTTAATAATGTATGCTAAATGTATAACTTATGCAATCTGTAATACATTGTGTAACATAACAAAACCCTCAGAAAAAGGAAGCGATCCTCTGATTAAAAAAAGGTTCCACATTTCTGATCTAGTCTTTAGCCATACTTATCTAACAATGTTATTTTTTCTAGTTATATTTTAATTTCTGATATTCATTTTAAAATATTTTATAAAATTATTAAATTTATATATTTAAAAATATAAATTTTTAAATAAATAAATATAAACGTAAATTTAAAAATATGTTTTTGCATTAATAATATAATTGATTTGTCATTTTTAAAATAACATAACAAAATATTTTATTACAATAAACTTAAATTCTTAAAATTACTTACTTCACAGCATGTTTAAAGGCATCAAATGAGCTGGCTTGTTTTTTATATTTTTCATCAAAATACCAAGCAGATTTCTCATAAAGCTCTTCTAACTGTTCATCTGTTTCATAAGAGAGAACTTCTGCAACATGTCTTAGTATACTATTCACCTAAAATATATTATTAAAATCAAAATGTCAATAAACGAATTTCATAGTTTCTTAAAGAAGGAATTTTTCTACTTTTATCAGCAAAAAATAATATAAGTACTAAAACAGTTTCTAATTGCAATAAAATTTAAAAATCCCCCCTTTTTTTTATGTATGAAAACATTAGTGTATTTTAATGTAAGAATTATTAATAACTAGACAGAAAATGCTAAATTATGATGGCAGTTAAAAATCAAGCTCCGATGGTTCATAAAACAAAGACAAGTGTAAATAACAAAATGAATTTATTACCAAAAGTTAGGTACAAACATGGTTACTTTTCGACATAATCACTGTGAAGATTGAAGAATTTGTCATATCTGTGGACGAGCTTTTCCATCCCCTTATCATAGAATGCTGTCATTTGTAAACAGAGATGTGTGTACAGTTGTTTCCATATCAAATTTTATAGTTTATTCATTTAATATATTTATTTCAAAATTTCTTGTGTTTTGTTTATACTTATAGTATATACCATTCAGAGTGATAAAGGTTTCGTTGGATATCTAAAGAGGACAAGTTATGGAAACTTGGACAAACTGGGACAAGAAGGGGAGGAAGAATAAAAATTTCAAAAAAATGCAGACAATTTATGGACAGTACCTAACAGGAAAAGTACAATGTACTACTAAACTACTAAAATTGAGAGTACTGTGATGAAAAATTGCAGCCTGGCATTGTGATGTTGTCACAATAAATAATTGCTTGTTTTCTTTTATTTATGTATCTGAATACTAACTTAAAGAAAATTCTTAGTATAATTTTTAATAAATAATGAATAACTTAAGCAAATTAAATAAAAATAATGAAAGAGTTGAAGAATAAATGGATATTTATGAAGTGTACTGTACATGAATTTAAAAAAATCTGGCAACAAGTTGCATAACTTTCCTGGCTGTTATAAAATTCTATTTAAAAATAACTTTTATATTATTAATACAATTAACAAAATTCTGTTTGGCACCATCTGTTATGAGATTTTGTTATAAAAACTTTTTATATTTTTAATTATTATTGAATGGCAAAAAACTTAATTCTGAGGGTAGGGATGAGATTTATAGAATATTAAATGCTAATAATGAATAACATTTTCATTAAGTCAGACCCTCTCGAGATATATCACGTGACCACCCTCTATCTTTCAATCCCCACGACCTTTCACAATCAAACTTTAATAGCATAGATGCCCCTTATATACAAGTTATTGTGTCAAATATCATTACATTATCTTTACCCCATCTTGAGATATTAAGTGAAATAGATGCCCCCACACAGAATTTTTTTGACATTTTTAGGTTTAAGGGGCCTCAAAATGTAGAGATTTGCAAAAATTTGAGTCAAATTTGACACGATTCCATTACTTTCCATTGTAATGTATACATAACAACTGGATAAGTAAAAATATTGGTCTGTTCGGAAAGTAATTTCGTTTTTTTTTCTGTAGAAAAAAAAACATTTTTATAATAAATAAATATTTTATTGAATTATATATTGACCATTTTGGTCAAATATCTGTTGTCATCATTTCTGGTAGTAGCATGATTTCACATTCATAAAAGTTTTGATCGTTGCTTACAAAAAACTGATTCAAGTGATTTTTGACATTGTCATTTCAAGTAAATGTCTTATAGTTTAAAAAATTTGTATAGACCGGAACAAGTAATAATCTGACTGTGCTCTATCTGGCAAATATGATTGGTGTGATAGCATGTCCCATCTAAGTTATAACAGTTTCTGATGAGTTACCAAACTTGTGTGAAATTTGACATTATAGTTGTAAAACACTACACCTGTTTTGTTGATCAATTCTGGCCGCCTTTTCTGTTTGATGATATTACTCAATTTGTTTACTCGATGGCAGTACACTTTCGAATCAATTGTTAAACTGTCTGGTAAAAGCTCCAAAAAGAATTTTCTTAAAATCCCACCAAAGGGAGCATCTCTCTTTAAGAACATGTGGAACCCATATATCAAGCTTTGAAACAAAACCAATTTGTTTCAAGTAATCATAAACAGTTCAATTTGACAAATTTAATCTCTTAGCGATTTTACGTGTTGTTATTCGGCAGTTTGCTTCGATCAGTACCTTTATTTTGTTTTCATTGGCTTCAACTGGCCATCCAGAATGTGGTGCATCTTCTATATTGAAATTGCCGGAACGAAATTTTATAAACCAGTTTTGACACTGTTGTTCTGTCAATATATCATCTCCATACGTGTCACACAATTTTTTTCTCGCTTGAACAGCATTCTTACCTTTTCGGTAATAAAAGATCAAAATATGCTGAAAATGCTGCTTTCGATCTTCCATATTTGATGGGACACAAAAAATAAACAATTGTACAAAATCAAACAAAATTTTTTACAAATAAGCCTTAAAATGCTAGCTGTTAAAATATATAATGATAATATGGTTTATAACGAAAATGGCAGGAAAAATACGACTAATCCGTCTAGCGGCAAAAAAAAAAAAAAAAAAAAAAACGAAATTACTTTCTGAACAACCCAATAAAACATACAACTAAAATGGAAGTATAATTTTTTGCTGTTAAAATCTCTAAAATACTTTCTTAAAATTAACTATTTATGTTTTAAAAAGTAGTTTCTAATTTAAACAACAGAATAATTTCTAAGGCATTAAAACTTATTGTAATAAGAGTAAGTAACAGGAAAATAAGATGTCTTTAATAATAATAAAGTTTAAAAAATTCTAAGTGCTTTTCATAAATCATCTTATGTGTTTGATATTAAGAAACTAAAATAAAATACTGTTTTTGATATTATATCAAGCATTTAATATTTTAGTTTATTTCCAAGTAAAATGGAAATACAATTTTTAAAAAGTATAATGAACATTATTACTGTCTAAAAAACTGACAATTATCACCATTAATAATAAGAAAGTTGATATTGTACTTCTGTTTCATTTCTATTCAATTAAATGCACATACTTAATTTAATCAAGAAAAATATCTTACTTACTGCTTTAGCTTTTGCAAACTTCTCTTCGCATTTTGCAATATCTTCTTGAGATACTCTTCGTTTAGATAAGTCAATATAACCTAAAAATTAATAAATTAAATATACCTATTATAAATTCTTGACATTTTTTGAAAACTACTATTATTTGAATAAGTTTCTTGAATTTAAAATATATTTTATTCTTAAAACAAAAAATAATAAAGTTAATCATCATCATCCTTAGTTATTAAAGATTTCTCAACTGACCAAATTTATTTCATATTCTAGATTTTTGAATCAAGAATATGAAATAAATTTATACAGGAAGTTTTGAAGTTACAAGATTAACAATGTATGTAAAATAATATCAGTTTAACAAAATCAAATCTATTCCATGGCCTGTTGTCTTTAAAACACTTGTTTTCACATATGTCAGAAGGAGATTCCAAGAAGTCTCCAGTCAGAGCTTGTTCTGAATTTTTTTTTTTTTTTTTTGCAAAGTTCTATGTTGGAATTGGCCTCACACCCTCACCCTCCATCATACACTTTCTGATATCAAAACCAGTTAAAACAGTGCTTTTGAATGGTTTTAGTTGGGATACTTTAGGTACAGTACATTGTTTTCACCAGGTATATACTGTATATCGTGTTGGTCAGACAGGAATTGTTTATTGAGCATAGTAAGATATTATCATATCTGGCAAAAACTTGTAATCTCCAGTCAAATAACACTTCAAAAATAGGATTAGTCTCTTTGTGATGCATTCCATATTATATACTTTCATGTTAATACAAAGTTTAGACAATGTGATAAAGACAAACAACCACTGGATTACAATGAGCTACTTTTCTGGAATTATATTTAATTAATAATTTAGAATATTCTGGAAGAAATGAATCTACCCAGAGCAGGACTCAAACCTGCAATTCCTGCTTACTATGTGTTTGGTTTTACAAATTTATTAGGTTTTGTGATGTTTTATATACAGTGGGTGATTGGTTAACAAACAAAATCCTTTCCAAGACTTTGTTCGCTATCCAAATTGTTCGTTAACTGATTATCAATTTACTATAGGTTTTAACGGGAATTTAATTAATTCATTCTGGAGACTCCAAAAAATAAAAAATATATACTTTCTTACTATGTTTACTTATATGTAATAATAAAACTACATACATACACAGTCTTGCATTTTTATTAGTCATGTTTTTTTCTGTTTGAAAGGGTTAAAGAATCTGTCTAATGTCGATTGCTTTTCTCTCTTCTTCATGATTTTTCGTAAGTAATTAATAGCATTGTAATTGTAGAGATCCCCAAGCCTCAACCTGGTTTGGATGTCATTCTAAGACCGTTGTTCTGACATCCTCCCACTTCTACAAAGAATCTTTAATAACAGATATCGGCATTAATCCTCTTTTTCAGAAGAAAACATATCTCGCCGAGTTTCTTGGTGTTCTTCATTCAAGAGTTCTTGGCATTCTTCTGTCACCAGATTCGTTTCAAGTTCCATTACGAAGTCTTCGATGTTCTTTATTTCTCAGATGTGATTTTTGTTACTCCTTTAGCTGCTGGAGTCTTTTTGATTATACAGCATTTTTCTTAAATAAGATTGAACTGAGGCCTACTGTAGACCTGTTTATGCCATATTGTCCAGCAACATTAGTTATCTTCTGTCCACTCTCTACCTTTGCTATTATACTCTCATCTTTCGGAAAAAAAAAAAAAAAAAAAAAAATTACAAAATAATGAAAAGCCAAATAATCGGTAAAAAATAATAATAATGTTTTCGACACAAGGCANAAAAACAGACGCAAAACTTAACAAGTGCCTACCCGACAGTCTCGCGAATACACAAAAGAATTGTTTTTTCAAAAAAATAAAAGGCTGGAATTACAAGGAAGAATTTCAAAGTTCAGAGGAATACTATCCGATCAGTATATACCAGCTTGAGCGGCGTCTATGTTGACGTCTCCCACACTCCAAAAAGTTTCGAATTGTTGCCCGAAGACAAGGGAAGACCAATCGGTATTCATTATTTTATGTCACTTCTTGTGTTTGTTCTGTGGGGACAACGAACACATTATCCGATCATGTGTTCGTTGTCCGAACATAAAAATCTTTCGCGAAAGTGTTCGTTATCCGATTTGTTCGTTGTCCGATCTGTTCGTTAACCAATCACCCACTGTATATATATAGGTAACCCTCGTATAACACGGGAGTTATGTTCTAAAAAATTGCTGTGTTATACAAAACAAAACTAGTACAAAAAGGGGGTTAGGTTCCAAAAATTAAAAAACATGCTATTATATTTTCATAATTAAGATAAATATCTTTATTAAAATTTTTTTAAGAAGTGATACATACTAAAAAAGAGACACGATTAAAGTCTTAAAGTATACTTGTAAAGGTGTGGATTGTCCAAGGGTCGATGCGCGGTTCAATGCCTAAAAACTGGTGATGAAATAAAGCAAGTATGGAATAAGGGAAAACATCTGGCAACACCAAAAGCAGAAGCATCGTGATCTGGCAACACTGAAACAAGTTTTGAGACGGACCACATGTATCAATAGAAGGCGAAAAAAGAAAATTTACATACTTAAGTACTAATAGTTCATGAAAATTATGCAGGAAAATCTGATAGTGTGTACACACTCGAATGAAAAATGTCAAATGAGGTATCTTTCTCACTTAAAAGCTTTATTACGTTTACTGAACTATTGTACGAGGATTTCCCTAATTTCAAATTAGATAAAGTTCACTTTTAATAGTTTTTATTATATTTCATGTTGTACGAGGATTTTACCCAATTCTCGAACAGTGTTAGAGTGAATCTGTGCTATAGAAGTGCTGTGTTATAAGGGTGTTACCTGTACCATGCTGGGGTTGAACGATGGTCAGCTGAGTTCCACGAGTAGGAGTTTATAGGATGAGGGTGCTGAAGGTGTCCCCAGACAGCATCCTCATCCTGTTTATAACCAAGATTGATTGTATCATATGATTTATAATTAAATTAATATTTATTAATTATTGAATTTAATAAGAGATGGCCTTCCTCTACTGACAAATTATTTAGTAATTAATTAAATATAATTGTGGAAAAGTATCCCAAAGTAATCCAGTAGTTGTTTGGCTTTACAAATTCATTGGGTTTGATGATGTTAATGTGATAAAGAACTGAGACTGCCTGTATAGCTTATGGCAACCTAACCCACATTATGACCTTTAGTGGAAACTTTGCACAATGTTTGAACTTCAGTTTTGGCATAATTTACTTTTCTTTTTCACTAGTTTAATAATTTATAAAATTTACAGATTTTCTATATGGTTAAACTATAACAGTTGATTTCTTAATTCTTATAAAGTAGTTCATTGCACTCCAATAGTGGTACAACAGTGACAATGACACAAATCCAATGTCATCAACTATATTGATTGTAAATTTTCAATGCACATTAGTACCATTACAACAACGTTTAATAATGTATATCACAAATCCATTGGCACTGCTACAATGAAATTGATAGTAACATCAGAAGTCTGCTGGTGCCACTACAGCAATGTACCTACATCACAACTACACATGTATTAATGACAACATTATGTATATAATTACAAAAGAATGAAAGTCATTACATAATGTTTTTCAGCCACAAAAAGAAGGAAAACGAAAAACAAACAAAAAGCAGAAATTTGTGAAGATTTTTAAAATACTGAAAGTGAAGACATTTGATTTTGAACTAAATAAAGACAATTTAAAGTGATGATAATGACACAATAGACCGTACTTGAAATATGACACACAACCCCTCCTCTCAACCTTTAACCACCAAAATTTAAGAGATTAATCCCTCTAATACACAAACCTCCCTGCAAAATTTCAAAAATTCTTGACAAAAAGCACATGAGTTATTAAGCTTCAAACAGGGTGAATAAAATTGTGCTTCCATCCATACATACAGGAAAAACCTTAAATTTTTTTGCAATTCTCAATGTTTCAAGATCCTTAGTCCAAAAATGTAAAAATCTTGGGAGTCATTTTTTGATTTGCCATACTTTCCCTCTGTTATATATAACAGCCTGGAAAGTAAAAATTTTTAAGAGTGAATTAATGATAATAGTAACACTTCTGTAGAAGATGAATGGCATGATGTTACACTATTTAAGGTTATACCATACAGAACAAATGCTAGTAATTCATATAAAAAATGCATGTTGTTCAATGCAATGTTGGATTTAGTATCTAAATCCAAGTAATTAAAAGACTTGCCAAATACAAGTTTGGATACTTGTATCCAAACACTTTCTTAGAGTTGAGTCACCTATGTTAAAAATTTCTTAGAATACAAAGGGTTAATTTATATTTTAAACTTTTAAATTAATTTTTTGTAAATTTTTGTTATAACTAAAATATATTAAACATTGAAATATGTAAAATCTTTTGAAATATTACACAAGTAGTGATCAACTTACGACTAATTGATTACGTGGAATTACGATATAGTCATAAGTTGGGCTTTACATTTTATGCTATTCTAATATCATATCTCTAAATATCATTTTCTTATTTTTATGCTTGTCACTCTTACATGGGAATTTTTAACAAATCTTATGGATTGCAGAATTTGAACGACTTAAGCAGGAAATACTGTATTTACTTAGGTATAAGATGATCTCGCATACAGGATGAGGTGACTTTAGAGATCAAAATAAAGAAAATTAGATTTATTAATACAGTTCTAATTTTATTTTGTTTAATTACAAAATATTATCAAATGCATGTATTAAGGCAAACATGGTTGTTTGCCTTAATACCATTCCATTCATCATCAATAATTCCATTCATCATGTATTAAGGCAAACATGGTTGTTTGCCTTAATACATGATGAATGGAAAACAAAACCAATACATTATAGTATGCTTGACTAGAAAAAGTTTATTTTTAATGATTCAGAATGTGCAATTAAATTGTAAATGATTCAGAATGTGCAGAACAATTAAAAATATTTATAAATAAATACAATAATAATATATATGGTGTTAATATATAAAATAATATATATGGTAATGGTAATATATTCATTGTTAAAAATTAGCCCGATGTACACCATATATATTATTATTGTATTTATTTATAACTTTATTTATAAATATTTTTAATTATATGTTGTAATATGTAACAATCTTTGTATTCAACATCATTTAAATGTTAAAAATTAGAACACAGCTCTGTTCGAAAACTGTTAAAAAGATAGAGCTGTTTTTATGTTCTATGCAATTTTTCCTGATGAGGGCCTCTGAAAGACGGCTGAAAATGTTTGAACATTAAACCTTTTTTATTGTTTGTTTGCTGGAATTATGCTTAGGTGTGAAGTGGTTATTTCAGTATATATTTCCAGTTTGTGTGTCAGTTTTTTATGTCTGACTTAATTTTATCCTTATAAGGATAAAATTTCATTGAAATGAATGAATTTTATTCAAAATGTTACTTAGAATTATAAAATCTCAAATTTATGCAAATTAAAACTTTTTATAACAATTTTATTAACATGTCACAAAAATGGCATATAAAAAGTGTTTGTCAGCACTGACATAAATGAATATTGAAAGCATTTGATTGGAAGTGCACTGGTTGCTGTGTGAATTGTATATCATCATCTTATATCTTGATTTAATAATACAATTATTAAACAAAAAACAATTGACATCCAAACAAAACATCTGAGATTTAAAAAATGCACTAAATAAATATTTATGACAATTTAGACAACAGCCAAAATTTTTCTTATGGGTTTTTCTTTGGTAAAGATAAGCTTGGCACTTTGAAGTGGCATCCACAAGATTTTTACCTGTATTATTCTTTTCAACATTTTGCTTCAAAGCACCAAGCTTATCTTTACCAAAGAAAAACTCCTAAGAAAAATTTTGACATTTGTCTAAATTATCATTTGACCCAATTTTTTTGCATCTCAGATGTTTTTGTTTGGATAATAACATTAGGATGAAAGAAGATAAAAAGTCCCAGTGTTTTCTTCTGTTAATTTCTTTGAAAATTTTTAAATGTAATATTTTTGTTGTCAAGGTTATTATATGATTTTTGTTTACATTTTTTATGTAAATTTGTTTTAAGTTTTGTTGTAATTTTAGATTTTGGTTTATTCTTTTAATTTAACTTAATGATAGTAATATTTAAATTGTTTAAATGATGAATGTAAATTGTTTTTATCATCTTGATATTCTATACCAGGGGTGGCCAACACAAGGCCCGCGAGCCGCATACGGCCCGCTGGGAGTCATGTTGTGGCCTGCGGAGCTAGGTCAAATGAAGGTAAATGTTAACTTTATTGTACATATCAACAAAAGAACATTACCTCATGAGTTATTCATATCATGTATTTTTAAATTATAGCTAAGAGAAATTTGAAATATCCTTCATTTTTGGAAAAATTCATAGATTTTTAGCTATTTCAAATATCCTGCTATTTGACACTGAAGGTTACTTAGTTTTTTGTCCGATGCTAAGTGTTGATAAAATTTAATATGAGACTTCAACTTCAGCTATATATGTTCTGTGGTCTTGACGTTTTCAGGAAACTCGCAATGCTGTCAGGCTCATACTCATAACTACTTTCAGTCCAGCTTGACAAAGTTCCGTGTTATTCTGTAGTTTCGTTTTATTATCACCAATACATCTGGAGAGATTTTGCAATCAATGTTAAAATACATATTTAACATATTTATAATTACAGTTCAAACTACTTTAACCAAGTAGCCTGTCTACCATATCGATTCTATAAGTAAGTAAACCCTGAAACATTGGAGAAATTCCATCAAGTTGGTTTGGAAGAGTTCTATGAAACGTATTTGAACAAGGATAAATATCCTGCGTTTTACAAACATGCTCTGTCGATGGTTTTGCTATGTGGAAACACTTATGCATGTGAACAGCTTTTTAGTCGCATGAAGTACATCAAATCACAAGTGAGATCGAATTACTGATGTTCATTTGGAAAACTGTTTGCATGTAGCAACATCATCAGTGGAGATCAATTTTGATGCATTTAGTTCTGTAAAACAAAGTCAGATGTCTCACTTTTAAATATTTTTAAATTGTCTAATAAATATGTTTGATTCTCAGTTATGTTTTATTTTCTTCAAAAAAATAAATATACCTATTTTTTGTGTTTTTTTACATTAAACCAGGCAAGTGTTTGACCACCATCTCACCTACTGGGAAGCGATGATGTGGTTGAAGCTGTAACATGCTTGTTTACTTTAATTAAAAAAAAAAAATTAGGTGCGTGGACAGGCAGGAAATATTATTTCTGAAATTTGGCCCGCCTTCTGAAAAGGTTGGCCACCCCTGTTCTATACTTTAATTTTTAAAACATTAAGACACAGATATCATCTTTGTATACATTTGTGTGTGCTCCTACAATGTTTAAATATTAAGAACTGACTTTTGCCTTTACTATTGTTTGATTTTATTTCATTTATGAATTAAAATTATATCTTTCCTAATATAATAAACACAATATTTTTAACAGAAATATTAAAATGCAATAAAAACTTAGAAATATTTAAAATTAGATTAATTACTAATAATGTAATCACTTACAAAGTGATTACAGAAACATTTTAAATATAAAAATTTCATAAAATTACCTTTTTCTTTATCAACCCTTATAACAACTACACATTCACTTCGACCAACTCTAATTAATTTATTAATAGATCTAATACGTCGTCTTGATAATTCAGATAATAGAATCATTCCTTCTATATTATTATATTCTAAAAGACGAACATATGCACCCATTTCAGCTATAGACTGAACATTAACCATGACGACATCTTCTACTTCAGGATATTTCTGTGCATAAAATCTGCAACTCAGAGGCATGATGAAACTAAAATTTAAAAAAATGGTTTATTAAATTTATTTTAATAAGGTTTATTTTATAAATTATTTTAATGTGATCTTAATTATTTAAATCTTTTTATACATTCACATTTTATCATCCATATTCATAACTTAAAATCAAGAGTCAGTGTCAATAGTTAATCAATTACAGTACTATTCATGTATAGTATGTTTATATTCTAATGAGAAAAATTCATATGTTCTGTAGGCAACATTGCATCATCCAATTTATCACAGTGGAAGATTTCAGAGGAAACCAAATCAGTTGGTGGAGGTTTAACTAATCTAGGATAAGGTAAATAATTGTGCTGTTTGTTTGTGTTTGAACATCATATCACAAAAAATAATAATAATAATAATAAAACAAAGAAGAATATTAAACAAACATCTAAAATCAAACTGTATAAAAGTTAACAAAACATATTCTGAAATGCTTGCAATGCTAAGATTAGCACATAGATATGCTAGTTTGTCTTCACACAAGTGTTTCATTGGCACAAGGCTTTCAAAGATGGCTTTAAAAGTATTGAAGATGACTATCATTTAGGATAGCTATTCACATTGAAAATACATTAAATCATGTCCAAGGTGTGTTCTGTGCTAGCAAAATATAGATGATTAACAGTCAAGGTGGTTGCTAATGAAATGACTAAGAATACTACTGTTCACTGTACTTTGATAGAAGAGCTGTACATGATAAAAATTTGTACAAAGACAATATCCAAGAAACTTAGTCAACAAGCAAATGGTGGATCAGTTAAAAACTGAACCAAACTTTATGCAGAGTGATAATGGGACAAAACATGGGTGTTTAAAACTCAAACAAAATGGCAAAGTGTAGAGGGGCACCAATCTTCACATCAATCTAAAAAATTTTTCATTTGCAAATTAAAGGTCATTTCAATGATGATCATTATTTTGCAATTATATATTCCCATTCTTGGGTAGAAACCAGAAAAAATACTGACTGAGTAAATGAAAACTTCATATATTCTCTTTTAATATCTATTTCACTCTACATATTATGATATAGTCTAATGTAATATGTATCCATAAACAAAACTTCATTTAATTAATATTATAACAATAAATGTCATTTTGTGTATTTTACATGATGTATAAATATATATCATGTAAATAGTAATATAATGATAAAATTTTAGAAAAACACGTTAATAATAAAGTACACACAACAAACTTGACCAATTGGCATTGTCCATATGTACAGTGACCATATTTTTTGGGGGAAAATAAAGGACATATCGAAGAAAATCAAAAAATACCTTATAAAATTCATAAGTTTATAACATTTATTACGAAAATAGTAGCATACATTAAAATTTTAAACAATCTGAATTATTACACATACACACATTGTAAAAATTTAAATATCATTAATTTTGATACTTTTCAGTAGAATTAATTTTTTTTTATAGCGCCGTTTCACGCTTTAAGCTTCATTCATATCTACAGACACCGTACGTGGCAGACACGTAACAGCACAGACATAAACATATATTTTCTATGCGGCCATATCGGCCCATGTCTGTGCGGACACGATCAGCTCACGCGCGGTATATGTAAATATGCCCATAGAAAATGTATGTAATAATATTTTTATGTCTGTGCTGTTACGTATCTGCCACGTACGGTGTCTGTAGATATAAATAAAGCTTAACGCTTCTAGAATAATTGGTAAAGGGCGGAGAACAGGTGGGATGGTATTGATGAATAATAAAGAACTCAAGCATGTTGTGGTTCGTCTCTTTTAAGATTGGTTATTTGAAATTCGTTGGAAAAACATTAAGTTTATTTTTGTTTATATTAGAATAGAAGTTTACGTTAAATGTTTTAAATTACTTAAGACATTGTTTAATTCTTTTCAAAATAAAGACATATATTTATTGGGAGAATTTAACGGTAGAATTGGAACTCTGAATGAAATAAAATGAGAAGGTGATGTTTTCCCTTGTTGGATTATATTGTTTACCGGAGTTCGGAAGACAAATGTAATACAAGAGTGAATTGAAGTTAGTGGAATTATGCCAAGCAAAACGTCTGCTGATTGTGAAAGGTCAAGTTAAAAAAAATGTACAAAAAAATACACGTTTATCTGTTATTTCGGTAAGAGTGTGATTGATTGTTTCTGTATAAACGGTTTCGAAGTTGAGAATTTAAAGCATTTTGGTATAGATAACTGTATTGAATCCGATCATATGATGCTACATTTAAAAATTTCTGACAAAGGACTGAAAAAAGGGCTATGCTAGACAACCAGTTCAGTTTAATAGTCGTTGGAAGAAGGAATGGCAGGATTCGTTTGTAAGTGAAGTACAAGATATTTGTTGAAACAGGCAATTTAATGAGAAAGCAAATTAATTAAATGAAGTAAATGTTATGGTGTCCGGTATAGTGGAGAAATGTAGACACAGTAAAAAAGAAATTAAACGCTTCTCTAGGTTTGTTTCAGGGTGGTTTGACGATGAGTATTTAGAACAAAAGGTTAATTTGAAAATTAATATGATATAATGGAGGAGTCTTGGAAAGACTGCAGGTTTAAACAATATCTGTTAGTGAAGCGAAATTTCAGAGCGCTTTGTATAAGTGAAAAACAAGGAATATCTGATTAGTTTTAATCAACTTATTTCAAACTGTAAGTATAATAAACGTTTTGGTAGTGTATTTGTAAACTGGAAAGAGTAAACTCTGTATTTCAAAAGAAATTAAAACTGATTTGTTTAAGCACTTCAAAAGTTTATTGTTCAGTGATAATCTAGTTCAGCGATTCCCAACCTGTGGTACGCGTACCCCTAGTAGTACGCGATAGGTTGTTTAGGGGTACAGAAAAAAGTTAGTTATCATGGCAGAAAAAATAATATATTATGTATCACAAACTAATAGTATTAAAAAATTATTAG